CCCCAAAACCCCAAAACCCCAAAACCCCAAAACCCCGTTATGAAGAATTATTTGAAAATTTAAATTATGGAAGATTTTGCCAATCACGACAGATTTGTGCCAAATGTGACACCTGATTTAGCCTCTATGAGGACCCTTAAAGAATCCCAGAGCGATATAGTACTTCCTAATGGGAAATAAGGCTAATAATTTCAACTGTGAGATATTCCAAAATGACTGAAATGGTAAAAATAAAGGGAAATACAACAAAGTTGATCATAATCATCCACGCAGGACTGACCTCATCGACCCATTAGATGCCGTAGTCGATGGATTTAAGAAGAAGAGGAGTAATTATAATAAACGAGTTGGTCATTATTCCTCAGCTAGGAATATCTCACATGGTGGCTCCAGTGTCCAGAAATGAAGGATTACGAAAGGCAAAGGGAAGAAGTTGTCCTCACAGAACCTCTCTAGTAAGAGGAAGAGGTCTAGCCAGAAAATGAGCCAGGCTAATAAGCCTCACAGCACCAAGGCCAGCTTTGTTGACAAGAAGTGAGTACAAGGAATTTCTACTGACATGTATACAAAAGACATAAGTGTTGAGAGCAGGAACACAAATCGGTTTAAAGCTAATAAATTAAAACAAAGCATTGAAGTTTTCAACTCAGTAGGGTTTTCAACGAGTCAATCTAAGGCCTCAGGTACCCCAATGACCCAGATGCAATCATATGCTGAGAAAGAGGACTTAAGAAGAGGCCCTAATAAAGGGCGGAGACATCGAAGTCATGCAAGAAACAAGAACTCTATAAATCCTGCTGAGGAAGAAACCTCAAATCTCCGATCTTCAGAACGCAACAGCGCTATCAGGAATATCCAAATGGATGGCTTCTGGGTACATAAGAATGACCAAAAGGAAGGGTATCCACCGAAAAGCCCAAGCGAATCTAAGACTTCTCTGTTCGCTTTCCTCCAGAAACTAGAAGGCAAAGGGTTCAAGGATAGACTCGAGCGTGGCTACTTACTTCTCGATAGGAAGAACCGAATAATCCCTAGTTATAAGAGTGAAATTAAGAATGAACAATCAAGTGTTATAGCATTTTGGATTTCAGGTAGCAAATACCCTAATCCTAATTCTCTTGACAAGGATTTACTAAAGAAAGTCAAATTCAAGCTTTCTCTGAAAATTGGCAAAAACAGTTACTTATGAGCACTGTGTGTTGAGAAGTACTGTAAATTAATGAATTCAAGGCCGGAAAGACTTCATATTAGCGATAATTGCCAGATAGAGGCCTTTTCACAAGAGGTTTCACATTCAGAGGAAGCTAATAACAGGGAAAATTCTGAGATAACAGACAGTCCTCATAAAGGTATCTATATTTTTACATGCATGCGGAGGGATTTCATCAAGAATGTGTGAGCTTACTGAAAGACTTTCAGCGAAGAGCCTATTCCGAAGGTCAGAAAGAGATCTTCCTCTCGAAGGTCCAGGAGCAGAAGCAAGAGAGATCGCAAATCCTCAAAAAGAGGCCATGAGCTCAGGTCCTCCAAGCAAGCTCTGGTATCTGACCAAAATACTAAATGTAAAGACAAGAGTGGTATGGGAAGAAAAACTTCATTTGGTCAAGCTGTAATTAAAGATCATGCTAATAAAGAAAACATTCCGTCAAATATGCTTAGGAAGCAACAAAAATCCTCCAGAAACTCTGCTGTTTATAATAAGAAATCAAATAGTAATGGTAAAAGCTTCGCTATGCTTCATGAGGTGATTAATAAGAAACCCAAGCATTCGAATAACAATGATCCAGATTCCAAAAACCACGCAAAAGCTAGGAGCATAGGTATGTCCTTATTCCATCTGTATTCTCTATAATAAGGTCGGAATAGATACCCTAGGTTAAGCTTTACTCGTAGTTAAGAATTTAATGAATCCTTTCAGTAATTTCTAGAAAATATTAACAAAATCTGTATAGCATCTTGACAAAAGAAAGCTCCTGATGCTCCTTTTGTCACTCTGAATGTTCAAAACTCAGATTGCTATGATGGCAAAACCGAAACTGTAAGGATTCTGATAATTCAATAGCGAGGGAACTCAAGTTCTAATCGGCAACGCCAGGTGGTTCTTAACACTGAGAGATTTGAAGAGTTTTCCGAACTAAAGCTTAAAAAGAGTCAATCTGAGGCAGATTGTATCCGGAACCAAGATCTTGCTAGCATTCAGAGCTATTGAACCCCTTATGGATTTAAAGGAGAAGTTGATCAGAATGAACTCCTCAATTTAGACAACCAAAACCATTTGGTGAATATTTATCACTCTTTAAGCACTCCAAACTCGCAGAACAGTAAGTCTTAAAGCTGATTTCTAGCTGTGGAAACCACGATTGACAGGAATGTAGACAGTACATACTCTGATATGCCTTCTAGAGAGTACAAGAGGTTATCTGGAGGCATCAAAAGTATCATCTCTCCATCTGCCCATACAGAAAAGGCATACAAGCTGAAATCCCAACGTCAAAATGACAAGAACCCTATCACTGGTCTCAAAAAGGCTGAGTCCCAAAAAGATGTGTACGAAAATAGGAAGAAATGTAAGAGAAAGAAAATCAAGACTGGTTCGATTATAAACACAGATAGATGTGCTAATGAAGATCTGTTCAGTAAGACTAAGCCAAATTACCCTTCTATAGCTAGCCTGAATTCGAAACATAATGAGGATGGTAACTACAACTTCTTTTCTGATTCTAAACCTCCTACAAAGAGACATTGAGAGGTAGTACAGAAAGAAATAAAATATAAGCGGAAAGACCCTGGTAATCACAACTGCAAAGGTGTGAAGAAGCTGAATATAATCCATCTCAAGCAGAAGCACGCTAGGAAGTCCTCTAAGGGAGACTCTTCGAAATTCTATAAGAAGTACAAAAAGAGGAAGCTCCAAAATGAACGATCTAGCTCAGTCCGGACTCTGAAGGACTCCGAAGGATCTAAACCTACACTGAAGAGGCATTCCTCTAGGAACTCCAGCCGACTGAGTAACAAGGCTGGGCCAAGCATGCCTTATAGTGCCAAGAATAAGCATTGTGATGAGAAGAAGGAGATCATTATCGGTCATGAGCAGAGATTCATGATTGATAATATGAACTTACAGAGTCTTGGCTCTATTAGTATTATTAAAAATTCAGACTGTTCAAGCCATTTGAAGAATCTGAAGCAAGCCATGGAGTCAAGCGAGGATTATATCTCTGATGTCATAGAGGATTCTAATAAAGCTTTGAGGTGAGTGAGAAGTTGTGAAAGAGGGATCAATTTAAGTTTAGAGAGCTAGGGGATGTTAAAGACTTGGAATTTGGATGTAACATGTCTTCTTGAACGAGGTGAGTTTTTGTAAATTTTGAATTTTTGAGCTAAAGGAATTTAAAAGATACCCTAAAAGGCTCAGTTTATCAAAGATATCAATTTGATCCCTAGGATAGCTTTCTTTCAATGCTCTATTCCCTTACAAAGACATTAAACAATTACAGCGCCATGAGTGACTCCTCAACTTTCCTAATGATCAACCCTCTGGACGAGAAGACGAATGCTTACGGTTTTGACACTCTACACAAAGGTACTAGTGACTTGAAGGAAGAGGAATGGACAATGACTATTCCGAAGATGCGGGTTCTGGAAGAGAAATAGAGTTTAGTGGATTTTGTGCTTGTTCATTTTTGTACAGAGTGGCTGGGGTTTTGGGGTTTTGGGGTTTTGGGGTTTTGGGG